TGAGGAAAATGTTCCTACAGAAAAAGATGGTGTGATTCTGCGAGGCTGTTACGCAATTTCTTGGTAATCCATGTAAAGACATTTATCTTAAAATAGTGATTCAGCTAGTGGACGTAATATTGGAATGGACATTGGAGAAAAGCGTGTCATCCGTTAAGATCTAAACGAAATGACACACAAGATAATATCCAACATTTTACACTTGAATTATGATTCCTTGCTACAGTAATTACTTTCAACGTTTGTACACATTTCTGTTGGTCAGAGGTGGAAGAAGGTTCCTCAAGTAAAAGTACAAAAGTAATAGCATCTAAATATACTTAAAGTACCAAAAGTAAAAGTAGTCATTGTGCAGATTGGTCCATTTCAGAATAATATATATGATATGTTTTATAATGATTGATCATGAAAGTGTTCTCAAAGCTGGTAAAGGTGCAGCTAGTTTGAATGACTTTGTATACTGCAGGGTAGCTTGTGAATTCACTCCAGGTGGAACTAAAGTCTGATTTAAGAGGAACACTAGCAACATCAGTCATGGGAATGACTGAAGGCTAAACAAGGTTGATTAACAGAGTGTGTGGCCAAGAAAACCCCAAAAATAAAGTCAAAAGGGTAAGAAGCTGAGGGAACTGATGAGTCAGCTTTTGTGTTGTTCCACGGGTATGGAATGAGTTTGATCATTCTATCAAAATGTCTTTATCTGTGTTAAAAAGAGCTTAAGTAGGCAGTTGTTGTCAAAGCTTGCACGCATACACTAACACTAAATTGCTTTTTTCCAGTTGTTTGTGCCTTTATTTTCCTTTTATCTCAGTTTATTATATCTATTTAAAGGGGACCTATCATGCAAAATGCACTTTTTTACGTCTTTTATACATGAATATGTGTCCCCGGTGTTCCAGGGAACTCACCAAGTGTCAGAAAACACAACCCTCTCTATTTTCCACGGACATTGCCGTTCGAAAGCGCTGGAGACGCTGTAGTACATATGCCAGGCCTGTAGATGGTGCTGTTCTGCCCTTATCTGCCCTTACAAACACAGAGCTAAAAAATGTCAAATTGAGCAAAATGAGGCATGGCTAAAATGCATGATCTGTTTGGTATTTTACAAAAAAAAAAGTATAAATATGCCTTATATAGGTATGGTCCTACACTATATTATTCAAATATAGCATGATAGGTCCACTTTAAATCAATGTTTAGATGTCATTTATGGCTTGAAACCATTTAATAGTTAGGGTTGGATTAGTTTTGTTGGTATTTGGTTAGTTTGAGGTGTTGTTTTAGCTGGTGCTGTTTCTGTATAATACACACACTGTTTCCAACTGCAGATTTGCTGGTAATATATATTGTTAATACTTTCTGTTAAGTGTCTGGGCCTCTATTCTCAAGTGTCAGATAGTTTAGCGACAGTGTCCCATTTCAAATATCTTCATTGAATCATTCATATCAAAAACATTGATGAGAGCAGCTCCAAAATACTAAGCTGATGAAACGATTTGACAGCAGGCCTTCTTTTGAGGTCATTCCATCCCACTTATTTCTTCTTCTGACTGGTTGCTAATGTTTCTTTTTCTGATGAGGACCAAAGATCATGAAAACGAAGAATGTATAACCCATACGTATAACCATATGAATAAGTTCCATGTTTCCTTTTTTTTTTAGTAACTCTAAAGTAACAGAGTACTTTGTCCGTACCTCCAGTTTCTCCCGGAATGAATCCACCTGTTTCTTCATCTCGTACACCACTGCAGGAGCGTCGCCGGCCTCCGTCAGGATTCTCTTCTCCAGGCCCTGCAGTCTGAGATCACACACCATCAGAGAAGGGTTAGGATTATAGGCGTCCTTTATACTGGGGAAACGGCCCATTTTGTCCACAATTTTGCATTAGGATCATTTTTTTTTTAAATGTTCTGAAAATAGCGTGCAGAAAGAATTATACACTTTGAGGTTTATTTGCACAAGAGAACAATCTCAAGGACTGTTTTCTGGTGACCGAAGTGATGCAATTTGTAACAGCTTCGCAGCAGCATAGCATAGTTACTGCACTAGTTGTATTTTGCGGGGGGGCGCTTAATGCAGTACTGGTTTTTTAAATCTGAAAAAAGGGTCCCCACCACTTTTTCTAACAAAGTGACGCCAATGGTTAACACATTATACAGTAGTATGTACATTTTCACAGTTGATATACATTCAACCTTCAAAGTATATGACCAGATATCTGATGCTTCACAAGAACTGACCTTTTGACCTTTCACAGTAAATATGAATGAAATGCCTTTAATGTTGATCTTACTCCCCTGGCCTACCTTTTCTCCATGGAGGAGAGGTCAAATCCCAGCGCACCTGCAAGCTCCGCACCTGAAATGACAAGACAAGAGGGAGACGTGTCGAACCTTTTGAAATGAACCCGAGCACTGCATTTCCCATGGTGCAAAGGGAAAGATACCTAACGGCTCACTGTTGCAGTCGGCAGCCACCACCTCCAGTTTGTAGCAGCAGCTGGAGGAGTTGGGCTCCAGCCCCGGGGAGATGTTGGTGATGTTGCCTTTGGGGTTGTACAGCTTCAGGATGTCATGGGGTCCGGCCTCGGCTGCAGAGCGGAACAGATCTGAAAGAGAGGTTCAACGTTCATTTATCAATCAATCCTGAGGAGATCTTTTCCCCCAAACGCTGAGGAAGGCCATCTGAAACCCTGGAAAAAGCTTTGAGGGTATACTCTGTTCAATATGGAACCCATCATCAATGGGTTATAGGTTGTAACTTAATGCTTTACAAATTGTTAACAAATGATTTACAAAACAGTAAGGAAATACAAAGTAAATAATGTGATACAACTTGCATTTAACCCTCCTGTTGTCTTCGGGTGAAATCTGACCGATTTACTACTTTCATCAATCATAACTTTTTTGTTTTACATTCGATTGCATGTGTTCCCCCCCTTATGTGCCCAATCCCCCCATGTGAATCACACCTGGCACACACAAAGACACACAGAACAATTTGATACATTTCCCGCTCTTATGTGCCCATCCCCCCACATGGATCACACCTGGCACACGCAATACATGTTCAGTGTCTATTCTTTGTATATTTACTGCAGTTGTTCATGTATACCAGTAGTCTGATACAATATGTACAGTTTGAAAGGGTGTTAAATAACATTTGGTGATGATTCATGGTTTTTGTGTTAATGTAATAGCAGTTAAAACAGGAACGGTCAAATTTGACCGCGAACACCAAAGTAAGGGGGGGGGGGGGGAAACGAAGACAATAGGAGGGTTAATCTCATCAAAATTGTAATAAAATGCAGTAATGTGTGTATGTTATGTCCTGACTGACAACCAATAATGTTATACCTTTTAGGTGGCTCATTTCTTACAAAACGGTTGATGTCATAACTTTGACAGATATGTAACACTGACATCATATTTGAGTCTAAAAAGGGTTCCATAATGACATCATTAGGATTTAATACATTTCTGATCAGTTTAAGACCAGATGTTATGACATTTTCATGACATCGTTGTGTTGCAGGGAAACCCAAAAGGTGTTCTTGAATAACGTTTATAACACATCTATAAGAATGAACAATTATCATATATTAAAAAAGGTAAATAAAAGGTAAACATTTAAAGGTGTGTTGACTTAGAAAATGCACCACTTTAATAGAAGACTGTTTGCCAGAGAGGCATGCATACTTTACAGTTATATCAACAATAATAATACAATAAAACAACAGTTACTGCTGGAAGATATATGCTGATTAACATTATATATGAGATCCACTCTGACGTTCCTCTTACCTTTCCTCATAACTTTAAACAAAACACATTAAGACCACATGAAGCCAGTGCTGCACACTGCCTCCACCCGAGGTGAGGAGCTGTCAGTGGCAGCTGATCCTCCATCACACACACACTTCTCTATCTGCCGGGAACTGACTTTCATCTGCATCTGATCCTTTATCAACGTTGTTTTCTTCTTTAGTTTTTCTGGATCACTTTTCTGCCATTGAATGAATGAATTCAACTCATGTGTAATAGATAATAACATACATCATATGATATTTACCTTCTCACATAAGGGAAGAATCATGGTAAACATGTGACACATTTGGAACATGTATTTAATAATGATAAAAATGATGTTATGGATGCAGATATCATTTGATTCACTAAGATTGCACCTGAGGGTGTGTGTATGCACTCTGACATACCTCACAATGTCTTCAACATAAGAAACTGAACTTTGAAATCATTCTGTGCTCCTACCTTTGACATCCTGCGCAGGGCAGTCCCCGGGGAACTCCGCCTTCTCCGGTCTCCCGTTCACTGTGAAGAAGATGATTTTTGATGCCATGTCATGAGTTCAGAGTTACTGACGAGTGCACTGCTGATCAGTCCTGCCTCCTTATTTCACTGTGATGAAGACCCCACCCCCTTGTTTTTATTCTCTCCACCTCCTCTTCTGCTCCTCCTTCATTTCCCTTCATTTCCACTGTTACATTATTAGAAGTAGAAGTCATTCACTAGATGTATCCTCAGGTTCTGTTCTCAATGTGTACTTGTTTTTCTTGTATTAGTTTTTTGTCTCAATTGTTTATCTTTTTATGCAAGCCTATTTCCTCTCACTTGACAGAAATAAAACACCACCATTTTGATCAGTACAAATAATCACAATAATCAATTATTGTCTAATGATTATTTTATAGTTGTGTGTTGTTAAATATTATTATCATTATTATCATTGGCAGTAGTAGTAGCCTATAAGTATAACACAATATATTCGATGCAAACATGTAAGCTACAGTTTGTCTATACATGCAGCAAGTAAAACAGCATAATTAAGACGTACCATTTTCTAATTAGGAGATAATAGCCTTCCATCCGTCCAGTTGCACTGACTGCTGCTGTTTAATCTGAGTTGCTCCTCCTCACCTGTAGAGGGCGCTGCGCCCGGCTCACACTGAACATAACACAGGCAGACCCTCCTGCCCTCTCGTTGGGTGTTACCACATGGGCCAGCGGATGAGGACACCAACGTGGTTCACAGAGAGCAGACTGACGGAGTTGTTTTTATTCCACATCATATGTGTGGTATCATTCATTATTAGAAATGACTGAAACTAAAGCAGAAACGGCTCCAAAGCCCGCCAAACAGCTGCTGGCTCTGAATCCCAAACAAGAGTCCGAGTTCAAGAAGAAGGTGCAGGAGGCGAAGAAGAACAAATCCAGCAAGGTGGGTTCCGAGGAGCCGTGGCCCTGCTGACACGAGGCTGCTGTGGCTCCTTCACTCTACACTGTCTAATTCCTTTTAGATGTAACAGGTGTTACGACACATTTCGTACCCGTGGGATAAAGTTGTGCCCTAATTTAACATTTCCGCTATGGAACTGACGTTAGCTCTTTTACCATGTTTAAATCCTATTGTTGGTGCTGTTTTAGATACATGTGTTTCATAATTGCTTCTTCGTTATGTAGCACACATTAAGTCCGGCACTGCGAACGTTGTTAGTATTTCTTATGTATTTATTGTATAAGATGGCTTCATAGTAACATTAGGCCTCATGTTTGGACGAGGTCACACATTTTGATAAATGCAGAAGCAGAAACACTACTTTTCTACCCTTCCTAAACATTCTAAATATTTTAGAAAGGGTTATTCGGCTCCAAAGCTATAATTATCTCCTACATGATATGACTATATTAATACTATACAGAATTACAAAAAATGTGTATGATTTTTATTTTGACTTAATTAGTAGCGTTTGAATACATTAGTCAACATTTCAAAATGTCACTTCCTCCAAAAAAAGATATTGATATATTTATTTAGGAACAACAAAGTTGATGAAACATGGTTGTATTATATAATAATCCCTACTCGTACTTGCAAGAGAAAAATAAGTATTTGTCATCCAGTTGAGTGTCTTTTTTTCTGGGTATTTTGAAAGAGGCAAACTGACTACACGTGTAGAAATGTTGATTTCTAACAATTTGTATCTTTGCCCTCTTGTTTATTTTATTATATCATTCATTTGTATATTTTTTTGTTTACAGGAGAGCCATTTGGCCCCTGGAGTGGTTTATGTGGGTCACCTTCCTCACGGGCTGTTCGAGCCTCAGCTCAAACCTTACTTTGAACAGTTTGGGAAAGTCCTGAGGCTGCGGCTGTCCAGGAGTAAAAAGGTAAAACGGATGAAAAGTACAAACACAAAGTCTGATTCAGGGCATTTTATTTATTGATAAGCATTCACAAGATATTTTTAAGATTGGTAACTTATGTTTAGAGGTCAATATTTCCTATGTTTGGTGTTTGAGATGATGATGTCTGACAGGAATGTTTAAAGTAACGCTGCAGAATGTTGGCTCGGTCTGAAAATGATCTCAGATGAAACAGTGATCTGAGTTCAGATAACTGAGCCTAAAGTATCCAGGCACATTAAGCTTATTTCCTGCTCATACATTGGCAGAGCGATAAAACCCATGTGCCAACAAAAGCATTACATTTATCTACAATATTGAATCGGTAAATGGAAACGCATCTCAAAGATACGCCAACTGGCCTTGATCTAAAGTATGTGAATGCTGTGAAACTATTGCTGTGATATTCATCTCTCACTCATCTCCTTTTCTCAGACAGGCGGCAGCAAAGGCTATGCGTTTATCGAGTTTGATTGTGATGAAGTTGCCAAAATTGTTGCAGAGACCATGAACAATTACCTCATGGGAGAGAGACTCATCAAATGTGAGTATTGCTCATGTACAATTCTTAAAATGTCCAGCATGATTCCTGCTCTCCTAGATTGGATCATATCCACTGTAAAGGAAATAAACCATCTTTAGTTTAACAATACAAAAGATTATTGTGAGATGGTGGACCTCCATTCTTTTAGATTTTCTCCGTTTGCTGAATGAGATTTTAGAGTTTGAAGTTGCAGAATGTTGGCTCGGTCTGAAAATGATCTCAGGTGAAACAGTGATCTGAGGTCAGATAACTGAGCCTAAAGTATCGAGGCACATTAAGCTTATTTCCTGCTCATACATTGGCAGAGCGATAAAACCCATGTGCCAACAACAGCTTTGAATAATTACAGTATTTAATCATTCAAAGGAAATCCATTTTAAAATGGGACAAGTCAGATTGGCTTTGATGAATATGTGTGCTGGGAAACTCTTAAATTGTGTTCACCCGTGTTAGAGCTAATTAGGATGTACCTAGTAGATCATGTCGTTGCCATGCTGGTCAAATGTAAATCTGGACTTATAGTATGAAATGTTTTTTTTATTTTTTTAAAGATCTCTTTACAGTAAAGATATTATCACTTGCACTTTTTCCAAGACGATGTATCATTTCAATGTACACACAGTGAATGTAAATTGCTCCACGTTCGTCAGACCAATTAGGCATGTTGTTGTTTGGCAGGTCATGTGGTTCCCCCAGAGAAGGTGCATGAGAAGATGTTTGTTGGCTCTCAGAAGGTATTTAAAAAGCCCTCATTACCTGCTGTATCACGCTACAACAAGACGCACACGGAGGAGCAGGTCACCAAGATGAAGGACAAACTGCTGCGGAAAGAAGCAAAGCTCCGCAAGAGAATCGCAGCACACGGCATCGACTACGACTTCCCTGGATTTGTGAGTGTTTAAGATTGGCATAGTAACTTATCATGGCAGCTTGTTATTTTGTATTTCTCTTAGCTTACCAAGTAAAAGTACTCTTAATACCGGCCCAGAACTGACTGGACATTTTCTATTAAGAGTAAAAGCTTTACATCATTGTAGAGCTACCCTTCTAGTGTCCATACATGTGTTGGCATCATGTTAACCTTCAGTGTTCTCTCTTTGCTTTTCCAGGCTGCCCAGGTGCCTAAGAAGAAAAAGTCCTCAGATTCCCTGGATGCTTCTACGCTTAGTAATGTAAGGCTGACACTAATATTATATCATAAGAACATTATAGTGGCACAGACTGAAAATGAACCCAGGTGTAACAGTGATCTGGGTTCAGATAACTGTGCCTACAGTACTGTGGTGCATTTAAGCTTATTGCATGTCTCCTGGTGACTATGTGATAAAACCCTTGTACCAACATACTGTATGAGAAGTTTCCCTCTCTACCAGAAAGAGCATCTTGTTATTGTATTCATTTATTGCACACACATAACACTGCCTTACATCCAGATAATGAAAACACAAGAGATGTTCAGGAGAAGTCAAACAGCAGAACTCAACTCCACTTAAGAAGAATACTAACAATAGCAAAAACATCATTAAGCAAAATCCAATTTATCCAACAGAAGAATTTAATGACAGAAAGAAAGAAATGTGGACATCAATATATAGGCTGCATCAGGGGGGCCCAATAGGTCCATTGCGATCGGTAGCTCGCCAAGGCAGTGCGGGTAGATAGCAGCAATTTGAAATCTCTCCGTTCATATGATCCGGTCTGTATCCGCCCTACAGCGTGCTTAGTGCCGCCGGAGCGCTACAGGAAAAAATCATTCAGTTTCCACACTCATGCCGCCTTTTCCCGTGCTGAAATCCACTGTTGTCGATGTACCGAGCCTATTGTTCAGCAACGATGCCGGTGCCGAGTCAAATAAAACGTTTCTAATTTCTTTCTGCGCAGAGAGAGAACACACTTCTCCATACAGATGGAGCATGATATACGATAAGGAAACTGCTTTGTTGAAAAACTTTGAATATATCAAACTGTCCATATTTTATGAATATTAAAGGTCCCATGTCATGGCCATTTCTACTGATTATAATTCCATTGTTGAGGTCTACTAGAATAGATTTACATTGTTCAATTTTCCAAACTCACATTGGTTTCTCATACAGGTTCTCTGTATAGTATGTGTATTCACTCTCTGTCCTACACGGCTTGTTGGAGCTCCTGCCTCCCACCCCCTATGAGCCCACTGTGCTCTGATTGGTCAGCTCGCCCACTCTGTTCTGATGAGTCCACCACCGTTACAGCGGAACATCAGTGATTATGTGTTACAATGGCGTTTGTTAGCAACCAGAAAATGACACCAGTAAGGACAAACAGATGAGAATGCTGCGTGGGGTCTGGGTGCCGTGTTGGTGGGACGTTGAGGGGCTCGCTGCTGGAGCGGACAGTGTGAGCTGGGTTCATTTCCTGCTTGCTGCGTGGGGTCTGCGAGACATCGCGAATGGATGCGGGAAGGGGGGATGCTGAAGGGGCTGCAGCACCCCCATCTGCGAGGCTCCACGAGCACCCGCACCCCCAAACACGGAGCACCTACAGTGTAAGCACTGTGTAAAAACCTTCATAACACACAAGGGGACGGGTAATAACAGGAAAAGCATGACATGGGACCTTAAACTATTTATCGTCTCTCGTACATGTTCACATTGTTTGGTTATACAACAGCGATTGAGCTAAAAAAGAAAATACAAATAGCACTGGCAGCGCTCTGTGGTTTTGCAGAGGAATGCAGATAGAAATGAGCTATTGGCTCAAATATGGCATGAATCTTCTCTGAGATGAAGCTATTGTTTTCATGGTCCTTGTTCAAATAAAACACTAGTAAGGTATAGTGAATAAATGTTTTCAATTGTGTTCTGCCATAAGGGTTCATGCAGTGCTGCAAGGTACGCCAACATATATTGTGTGTATATTCAGTACATATATAAATAAACATATTTTTGCATTTTTAATACAGGTAGATCATTAGGACATGGTCATTTTTAAAAGAAGCTGAAAAGGTGTGGGCACCCCTGGGCTACATCATGAATTACAAGTGATAACTATTTTCTTAACAAAAATTATAATAATTATTTATATTGTATACTTGTTTGGATAATGTTGTTCTTAGAAACCTTAAGGGCTACACAAAGTGTCACCATTCTATTCAACAGAGAAGCACCCATGGAAATACTCTTGTCTAATGCCGCAGTTCCACTACACGCTCGGTACGGCTTGGCCGCGTTGGGCCGACTCACTTCATGCTGCGCTTCCATTACAGTTTAGGAACTGGGGTAGTTACTATAGTAACGCAGTGTAGGCGGAGCCGTGACGTCATCTTCAATGAGAACTCCAGAAACACAACACAGCCGTTAGCTGTTAGCACTCAGAGCTCACAGCTCCTTATATATGTTCAGAAACTCGACAAAAGTTAAACAAGTACACACCACAGACTGCCTGTGTCATGGTGAATACAGTCGCTGCTTTATTTATGTCTGTATAGGCCGTTGTGAGTGTGGACGGTCGGAGCATATACTGCGTTAGCTTAGCCAATCTCCATCTAGAAAAACACGAATTGTAAAAGGTTTTTCGCCTGCCATCTGTCTGCAGACTTGACAAAGCATTAATTCATGGTTTTTACTAACCGGTATCAGTATGTTGTTACTTCGGCATCATTTTGAAACGTGTATTACAATTAAATCACGGTCAAATATGTCCATCTTGTTGTAGTTGTAGCCCTCTTGCCAGCGGTCCTCTCTCTAGTTTAGCATACTCGATAGAACCACAATTTTGTCGGGCCAGAAAAGAGGTGAAAAAGTGGCCCCGGGCCGGGCCGTAACTAGGCCTAGTGGAAGCGCAACCAAAAACGGGCACGGCACGACACGGCAGGCTTAAAGCGAGCTCCGCGCTGTAGTGGAACTGCGCCATTAGTCTACAACATTTGAGTAGGCTAATGCAGGATCACTTTTATGCTAATGAGTTCCTCTCCCATTTCAGGACGCCACCCCAGTGTGCACCCCCTCCGTCCTGGAGAGGAGGAAGTCCACGTTCAACGACGATGATGCAGATGACGAGATCGTCATTAGGATGCCGGCTGTAGACAAAGACGAGGAGGGCTCCTCCTCAGAGGAAGAGGGAGAGCATGAGGACTCTGAGAGCGAGGAGCCTGGTGAAGAGGAGGCAGAGTGACGTGCTCTGCGTCACTGTGGACTTGGTTCTCTGGCTCTATACATCAGGCTCATCTTGGTACTGTGATCAGATGTCATAGTCCGTCTTTCAGTATGTGGAAGTCACAATACATGAGAGAAAGGTGTTCGCGTGAAGGGTTCCACCATTATAATTGGTATTGCATCAGAGTGACCAATGGAGGGGCCTGCAGCATGGTCACATGAGCCTGGGTAATGGACAGTTGTGAAAGGACTTTCCTATGCCTTACAGGGCAAATACTTTTCTGTTTGCTTCATGCACACTTGTCTAAAAGCGTGGTTCAATTTGTAATATGTAAACTATGATCTTTAAAAATAAATGATGTAATAATGTACTCTGGAGCAGTCCTTCTGCACGTGCATACACAAGGGCACTCCTATAAGCCTTTTAATGCAGCAGGAAGAGCATGTGCAAAATGAATGATGGATGAGTCCATTTGCTGCTCATTGTTCTGCTTACTTGTATCCAGTGTTGGAAAAGTATTAAGATCCTTTACTACAGTAAAAATACTAATACCTAACTGTGAAAACGTACTTACAGTTTATAGTACTGCATTGGAAACCTTTAGCCAAAGTATGCATGTATGATAGGCAAAATGTTCTTAAAGTGAAGTATTGATTGTGCAGTAAATATTGACCTTTCTTGCTGTCTTATGGAAACCATGTTTTAGAAAGTCAACTTGTCATGTTTCTCAGAAAAACAGCCATCTTGACATTTGACCATGCATTTTCCAGATGTTGAGTTTTTCTGAAGATTTTATTAAGCTTCAATTCAAGGAGAATTCTCAACACATAAAAGGATCTCCTTATCCTTCAGTTCATCACAAACATTCAAAATCAACCCAAATGGCTACATGCTTTCACTGGACACAAAAGGTGTCATCTGAAAGTAAAAATGTAAACATAAAAATAGATATACGACAGAAAAGTACAGTCCTATCATAAAAGTACTTGGTTACATTCCACCACTGCTATTTGGCTTTTATCTATGCAACAAGCGTTTTGAGTGGAAACGTCCATTTAGGGACACAACATGTCCAGTAGGTGTCGCTAGAGGTCAATGTTCACATCCATGACACCGACAGCAGGATCTTTTTGCATTGCCATGCGACAGTTTTCCAAGTGCCAACATCATCCCTGTATCCACTGCGCATGCGCACGACGATCCCATTCTTGTCCTGCAGGCAGCATTCCGGGTGGAGAGAGTGAGTGAGAGAAAGAAAGACAAGAGATTTCAGGCCGTACACTGTATATTTACAGTAAGACAAACGAGCTGTATGCCCCAACACAACGCGGCGTCTAAGCAGGATATGGTAAGTAGAAAAATGAATGTTGTTAGCACACCTCGCCTCCTTGTCACATTTTCTCCTCTTTGTGCTGCCTGTCTGAACTGACGTTTCATTGAAAGGAAGGGCTTCGCTAGGGGCTAGCTTTAGCTTTGATTCCCCACAGACAGTACACACCTACTGTCTGCTACAGTAGAAAGGCTGGCTAAATGAGTTGGAGAAAAACAAAGAAAATTAATGTTTCAGAGCCACAGGGGAGAATTACAGGGCAAGCTTTTGTTTAGCGTTAGCAGTATGTAGCTGTCACTGCGCTCCTTCGGGTTGGCACTGCTAGCAGTGATGGTCAGGTTGTGAGCTAGCAGGGCTTAGCTACCGTTGGAAAAAAAAGGTGTGCATGCTCGTGCGTGTGCGCGTGGCAATATAGACACCAAGCACATTTGTGTGACCAGGATGAGTGAGAGTAGGTCTGGTTCATATTGGACAAGAGGATTATAATCAATCTTAGGGGAAATACATGTTGGCAGTTAGAGAGATTCATAAATATGGACCTATTACATTGTTAGTAACATGTATTAGAGCACACAGTACACATAAATACCATTTTGAATGAAGATCACACCAAAATCACTTCATATATTTTTTAATGATATCGACAATAATGATGTTACAATATAAATTCCCTTTAATATTGTGAATTATATTGTTATTGCAATATCAGTCAACATAATAACAAGTAATGTTTTCCAAATGGTGCAGCTCTCCTCTCACGCTTAAATGTCATTGCACACACAGTCATGTAGAACAGGGACAGGGGCCTCACATCTTCAGCTAAATGCCCAATACATCATTTCCTTTATTAAATGTAGCATTGTAAAAGACACATTTTCAATGATAACAAGACATTGTTGTCAATGTTGTCAAGAAAGAAAGGGACAACACACTTTATAGAAATAAACAAATTAAGGAAAACAATCAAAAATACTAATTAATAGTCCCTATGTACATTTCAAATACATTCAACACAACTATTGTTGCTAACTAATTTAAAGGGAAACTTCTAACACCAGTTATTGTTTCAACAATATGATTGCACTAAAAGAACAAATGAGTTATGTCTCAAAGAAGGTCATAGTTTGGTGAATGTAGCCTGTATAACTGCTTCAAGCATGCAGGTCTGACTCTCAGCACCCGGACAGAGGCCCCCATCTGATGGAGGTTGATGAAGCAGTCCTTTCTGCTTAGATAATGTTGCTACACAAAAGTCCTGGGGTTATTTCAAGAGAAGAAGTGCAGTCAGCTTATGATCGAGCTGTTTGGAACTGGAGCAAGTAAACAGTAACCTCCTTGTGTCGTTGCTGCTGACGCCTCTCCGCCCTGTGTTTCTACAGCGGTAGTGGGCTGTCGGAGATTTAGGAGTGTTGTTTGGTTGTGGGATTAATACAGAGTGTTGATTTGACTGGTCATTTTGTTTTGGAATGTTGATTTCCCTTTAATGTTTGATTATATTCCAGAAAGGATCTGTGTTATTTGAGCAGCGCTGGCTATAACTCATCAGTGTCTGGTACTGTGTGGCTTTTTAGTCGATACTTACTGTTATTGTAGAATATCATTTCTGTTGTGGACAAGAAGAGTCCATATACTTTTGGCGATATCATGTATAACACTGGGTTCCCTTTTATAACACTTTGTGCTTAACGCTGTCAAATAAAATGAGAGTGATGAATTGTTCCAGGAGTGATCAATAATGAATGGATTTCCTAATGAATGTATTGTCCCCTGTCCTTTCTGCCCCCACTAGGGCTCTCCAGGGCAGATCCCGGGACAAGACATGGAGCTCTAAACCAGCCCTCTCCATCCATCTCCATTTGCTGCCTTGCACACTGCTCTCCAAAACCACCTCTTCTACCCCTGCTATAGCGGTTTGGCTCTGACTCCTCAAAGAGAGCAAAGAGGGAAGAAAAAGCCAAGTGGGAGGGAGTAGTACACTTTCCCCAGCTGCTGTCCAGACACACACATGCTGCATTGCTGCCATTCCCCAAGCCCTGCTCCATCCATCCCTAGGGCACGGCCACTAGCTCGCTAGCTAGCTAGCACTTGGCACAAAGACGAGGCCTGTCCTCGGGGATAAAAATACAAGCAGACTGTGTACCCTTGCTGATTTCTTTTTTGTCCCTTTTCTGGGTCACCCAGCCGGACAGTGGTTAACTGGGGCTCTTTTTGTTTAGCTGTCAATCCCACTGCTTTGAGCAGTGAACGATTGCTGGTAGCCAGTCAGTCAGTCACTTAGTCAGGCAGACTGAGGCAGACTGAGGGGTTGGTTATCCCAGAAGAGGATGATGGAGCCCAACATGGAGAACTGCCTGACCCAGGTGCTGCAGAAGGACATGGGCCGCCGGCTGCAGGTGGGGCAGGAGATCATTGATTATATTCTGGACAAGGAGAAGTCCCATGACCTGGAGCAGGACCAGACAGTGCTGGACAAGATGATCGACGGCATCGCCAGCACCTGGGTCAACTCCAGCAACTTCAAGGTGAGCTGCACTGACATGGAGGTAGTATACAATTGACAGGTAAAGGAATGAGTCCTAAGACCTGGGAATGAGTCAGCATTTGGCCTCTATTGGTTCCTTCAATGTCAAAGTCAATGTTTTTAGTTAGATGGCTGAAATGAGGTTAACACAAGAGATTTCCATGTTTTTTTCTAAAACTTAAACTACGTGAGTAATTACCACTGGTGAATGTCTGGAGCTTCGATGTGTCATAAAAACAGAGGTTGCTAACAAGTGACTAAATGAGACTGCTAAACGTCATCCTGTCGAATAACGCAGCCACGATTGATTTTGTAAAGCGCTTAATGTAAGCTTTTTACCTACAGCGATTGCATTTATCCATAACAAATGATAAAAAGTGGTGTTAATATGTGACAAGTTTCCTGCTAAATAAAACGTGTAAGTATCATAAACGCGCATTTGCCAAAGATCTTACTTCCTTAATCAAATGAAAATATCCAAATACTTTTGTTGGAAGGAGACTAGACTAGACTGCGGGTCGGCCTAAGATCTACGTCCTCTCTGCACCACTGTATAGCTTCCCACACACCTGCTGCTACTCTAGTTCCAGCCTTTACTGAGCCAAAAGCATGGACCACGCATTTGCATTCTGATTTACACACAAGTACAGTACCAAACTCTCTTGATAAACTTCTTATCCTTCTAATTGACAACTCTGTTCCGCCGTTTCATTTTTGTTGTTGTTATGCCTTCAGTTGATTAGGAAATGTTTGTTATGGCTCATTCCTCTATGTGTTATGCATTTGGTTTGAGAGGAAGGGTTCAGACTTACAAACCCTATGGTTTAAACGACTGATTCAACGTATATCAGTCAGTAAGATGTGGTGTTTTCAAAATCAAAGCTTTTCCCACATATTGTGCATTGGAATAAAATAGAGCAACTTGAAAACATCTTTGCTGAAGTGTAAGATTTTTGCAGAATTATTGTCTTTGTTTGGACTGCACTTCCATATCATTGTATATATATATATGTATATATAATGGCTCTTTGTTGAAGCAGCAATCTCCAGTTTTTCAGTTTGTGTGACCGTTTTGTGTGCAACAAAAGCAAACATGTTCTCATGCTGGAAAGGCACATGACATTATTATTCCCCTGTGCTATAGAGCAGGCCCACATTCTTCTTCTCTGATTGATTGTGCTTTATTTTGGATTTCAATCTAGGGCAACATTTAATCTGACCCTGACTGTGAAAACATCAGCAGTTCCTCCAGTGCCCCAGCCACAGGTTGCTCTCTCTGTTAGAACATATTGTTTTCTCAAGCTCTGATTTCATGTCAGGATATGCTGCTTTTGCTCTACGTGGGCCTAACACATCAGAGATATCTGTCTGAACAAAGCCCAGCCTGCCCCCAATGCCCTACATACTGTGGCTCAGCACAGCTTTTCTCTCTGTCTCTGCACTCTCACTGCTGTGACGCCATGTTGTAATGTGCATATGTGTGCTTCAAGTGACCATATGTGTCGCACTGCTCTACATCTGGTCTGGTTACACCTCCAGGTACTGGAAGGTCCAAACCGTCAGATATGAGGCTTCATAAAAAGGAGTTCATACTTTGGGTTGCAGACAAAGCTACTTACATTGAGCCAAACTTATCTGTGGCCTTGCTATGTACAATTCCTTATTCGTTAGAATTGAATATTCTCAAAAAATGCACCACCTGTTTAAGCACTCTTAAAAGAAGCAAGGTTACACATACAAGTATTTTCTTTATGTGTTGTCTGCATGCTAATAGAGCAGGTCTGAAAGGCCTGGTACATAAACACATCTTTACTAGTTGGGTCAACAGGGACAGTATCCTCAGTCAGCACAGGCATAGCTGATCACTTGGCAACTACAGTGGGAACTATTTAGTTTGAGAGAGGCGGTGATGAATTCATTCACCATAAATGGTGCTTTGAGCGGATGCGTCTAATACCAAGCAACTGTTTAACCCTCCTGTTGTCTTCGGGTCAAATCTGACCGATTTACTACTTTCATCAATCATAACTTTTTTGTTTTACATTCGATTGCATTAAGGCTTTATGAGCGGCTCAGGAAGAAAACACTACGGATTATCAAAGACCCCCATCACCCCAGCCACAAACTGTTCTTTCTGTTGTCGTCTGGCAGACGTTACCGCAGCATCCTGGCAAAGACAAGAAGATTCGGAGACAGTTGCTTCCCGCGGGCAGTGAGACTGTTAAACAATTGAACTGCTGAAACAACTTCAAAACATTCATCTGCTACTCAGTAATATGTATCTAATATCTAATATATATCATTCCAATAACTTGTATATAGACTCGTACTGCACTATTCCACATGCTCACTTTATTTTATAACTATTTTCTTTTTGTATTGCTCTTGCTATCTATATGGTTATTATGTTGCATTGTTGGAGAAGCCTGTGACATAAGATTTTCAACAACATAATTACTCTGTAGCTATGTCAGTTTGACAATAAAGAACCTTGAACCCTTGATATCCTTCACAGTAGACATTTGAACATATAACATTGCTGATCACCACTTTCATTTAATTTTGGATGATTTAGTCAACTTTGTAACACCCATGGTGTTCCCGGTCCCATAAAGAAAAGGAATTAGTAACCATCCGGATCAGATAGAACACACACACACACACACACACACACACACACACACACACACACACACACACACACACACACACACACACACACACACACACACACACACACACACACACACACACACGGCGTGGACGTGTGATTTAAACATTTTTTTTAGGACTTAAAGGTAGCGATATTAAAGGTAGGTTTTCGAAACTGGCTCGAAACTGGCTCGAGATCGCTACATTGTTACAATGATTTTGCTGCTTGCTACAAAAGGAAAACTTGCGCGGCTCTCATGTCAGGGGTACTTGAGTGAGTGACAGCAAACCACCAATCACAATCAAATCTCCAAAGCAAACGGACCCGGTGATTAAAGGTAAAAACACTGAATAAAGTAGTTTCATATGTTTCTCCAGGGCAGTTCGGCGCTGCTAACCGAGCTAGCTCAGCTTGTTGCTCTGATAACTTAAAGTGGACCTATCATGCTATATTTGAATAATATAGTGTAGGACCATACCTATATAAGGCATATTTATACTTTTTTTTTTTCAAAATACCAAACAGATCATGCATTTTAGCCATGCCTCATTTCGCTCAATTTGAAAATGTTTAGCTCTGTTTTTGCAAGGGCTGATTCTTTGAGAACAGCACCACCTACAGGCCTGGCATATGTACTACAGCGTCTCCAGGGCTTTCGAACGGCAATGGCCGTGGCTGTCTCCTCCTGATTGGTGGAGTTGGCCCAATAGTTGGTCTTCTTTGTTATTTATTGAGCTTTAAAACAAATGAATAACGACTCTATATAATAAAACACGGAGGACGGAGATCTTTTTTTCTCCCCCTCTTGACTTCATCAGAGCACGGCTCCCCTGTCCTGCAGGGGGGCGTGGTCAGCTGCAGCTCACAGAGATCAGCCCCGTAGACAGCAAACAGCACATAGAGCGAAATGAGGCATGGCTAAAATGCATGATCTGTTTGGTATTTTGAAAACAGAAACGTATAAATATACCTTATATAGGTATGGCCCTACAATATATCATTTAAATATAGCATGATAGATCCACTTTAAGATCCAGATGTCCGTGACTAAAATCCTTCATCCGGTTAAATATAGTTAAAAAAATACCAATTGTATAGCGTTAAAGTTCAAGAAAGGATGGTTTGCGGGAATTTTTTTTTGTATTTTCTTCAATTCGTGTATGTTTTCATATCGCAATATATATATATATATATATATATATCGCAGGGGGGGGAAAAATCGCAATGTCAGTTTTTTCCAATATCGTGCAGCCCTACCTGGCACACACACACACACACACACACACACACACACACACACACACACACACAGAACAATTTGACACATTTCCCGCTCTTATGTGCCCATCCCCCCACATGGATCACACCTGGCACACGCAATACATGTTCAGTGTCTATTCTTTGTATATTTACTGCAGTTTTTCATGTATACCAGTAGTCTGATACAATATGTACAGTTTGAAAGGGTGTTCAATGAAATTTGGTGATGATTAATGGTTTTTGTGTTAATGTAATAGCAGTTAAAACAGGACCGGTCAAATTTGACCGCGAACACCAAAGTAAGGGGGGGGGGAAACGAAGACAATAGGAGGGTTAAAGAAAGTTCTTTATAGCGTTTTACACTCTTCTTACCTAAAGTTCAGAGGGCCAGTCCGAGGGCTTTCCTTGCTGCACATACCTTTTGTGTTTGGATAACAAACACTGGATGGTTGTACTGTCATACTGCTGAGCTGACAGGTCTAGTGAAGGTAAACACTCCCACATTCTCAGAGGAGGTGTACTCTTCCTTGTATATCTCTTCCCAGAAGGGGTTAAACACTTCCTCATGCTAACAATACAAATAAGTTTAGGTCTATAACAAAAGTATTCGATCTTTCCTTGAACAAAATGAATTTGTTTCTACAGCAACATGTACTGTGTCTGAAGCGGTGATTCAAAGCCTGGGTGCACAGGGTGGACGGTTAACATTACACTTTGTTTGCATATGTTGACTGACAGTATACTAATGTTAGTTTGTTGGTGTCATGTGCCTTTGGTAACCCACAGTAACCTCCTGCTCCGCACATTCTCCATGAGTCCCAACTTGAAAACAGAAAAGCTTACTTGTCTATTATAGGTCATCTTAAAACCATAATACATGCAGTAGATCAGTTCAGAATGAAGCCTATCTATCAAATCAAAGGTATTTCTAAAGATTGGAATTCCTTCTGAACTCTGCTGAAGGGTCTTTGTAACAAACGCCCAGCCCAAATGTTTCATTTGCTACCCCATCTCTTCCCTAAAGTTCTGTACACATAGAAATGAGTGAAATTGAACAAAGTGATATGTGTGTGAACGTGATCAGCAGA